CAGTAATAGCGGGCGGTGTCCTCGGGCTTCAGGCCGGTCATTTGCAGGTGCAGCAGGTTGTTGGGGTTTTCTCTGGAAAGGGCAAATCACCTTTGAACAGTACCATTGACCTAGGGCAGGAGACCATTGTGATCTGGGGGCAGGGGACTGGTGGGTAAGTTCTCGGCAGGAATATGGGTACAGGAGGGGACAAAGGGGTTTGGGTATGTGATGTAGGGGGAAGGAATAGAGAGCAGAGGCTTGGGGAAGGGAGCGTTGGGGAGACAGAGGCAGCCTCTGTCCAGAAGACTTACCTACGTAACTCCTGGCCAGCAGTTTCCCAGTCAGACAGACAGACAGACAACCCTGCCTCCTCTGCCCCTGCAAAAGCTGCAGGGCCACATGCTTGTGTGGAAAAATTAGGAGCTGGATGGAAGGGGCATGGTGCTTTGTGGCTGCCTGTTGTTCAAACAGGCAGCTCCCATTGGCCAGTTTTTAGCCAAATTGTGCTGGGGCTGTTCCTGAAACCTTCCCTGTCTCCCCGCAGAGCTCACAGTTTTGAAAGAGAAACAGCCCCTGCAGCCATTTTTCTGAGTGGCATATCTGTGAGACAAGGCGAGCCCTCTGTGTCTGAATGCTGGCTTGGTGTCAAGGTTGTTTCCCAGTCTGGCATTCAGAATGGGAGCTCAAAAGGGATCTCACAAAGAGCTCAGAAGCAAAAAACCACCTTTATCTCTACAGGGTCTTGTTACCAAAACTTTCCCCCAGAATCACAACGTACAGATTTTGGGGAATCGCTGCCACCATCCCGTGCTTTTTATCACTAAAAAACTGGTGGTGAACACTTGAAATCAGCCCCAAAGTTACCCCAAGCTCTTTTGCCCCCAAAAGAACTTGAAAAGAGAAAAGAGAAAAACAAGCTGCAGACTCTGGTAGCTGGCCCCTCAGTCTGAGGTATTCAGGGACACACAAACAGTCAGACAGACAGACCTCCTAGGACAGAGGAATCAAATCATCTGCTTAACAAAGTGATTTTTATTACTAAACTTGCAAAAGTGCACTTGCTAGGTGTTGCAGAAAACAAATTAAAACAGAGAAAAGTCTCTGGCCCAGTGCTTAGATGGTAAAGGCGGTGAGGAGGCATAGAATCACACAAAGCAGTTCAAACCAAACCACAAAATAAAGAAAAATTCCCTGAACGAGACTGGATGCACTTTCCCCTGTCCTTTACTTCTGGTTTTCTCTTTGTTCAGTCCATTCCCATGCCCAGAATTCATTGGAGACCTGGTAGTTCTGCCTGGGTTTCAATCATTCTTTGTCCTTCAACTCCTGGACTTTCTCTCCCCCACAAAGAACACAGACAAGAAATCTTATACAATTCACATTTCAGTCATCATAAGAACATAAGAACGGCCGTACTGGGTCAGACCAAAGGTCCATCTAGCCCAGTATCCTGTCTGCCAACAGTGGCCAGCACCAGGTGCCCCAGAGAGGGTGGACCGAAGACAATGACCAAGCGATTTGTCTCCTGCCATCCCTCCCCAGCCTCTGACAAACAGAGGCCAAGGACACCATTTTATCCCCTGGCTAACAGCTTTTATGGACCTAACCTCCAGGAAATTATTTAGCTTCTCTTTAAACTCTGTTATAGTCCTAGCCTCCTCTGGCAAAGAGTTCCACAGGCTGTCTACACGCTGTGTGAAGAAGAACTTTCTTTTATTAGTTTTAAACCTGCTACCCATTTCAACCTGCTACCCTCTATCTCAATTGGTTCTCCCGGGCCCCTTGCCAACACATTTTTCTGGATAACTGATCTTAACCCCTCAGTAATGGGATGCTCAGCACTCTTCCTGTCCATTACACCTTGCTTGGGCCTACAGAAAGCAGGGCAGGATCAGGAAGGTGGCAGCACCTGTTCCCCCTCCTGCACCTCTAATCAATGCCACCATCGCTGCTAACCCTGCATCCCCTCCTGCATCCCTAATCCCTGCACCCCTTCAGTGCCACCCCCTGCACCCTTCACTGCAAACCTCTGCACCCCACTCCTGCACCCATGTGGGGACACTGACCTGGATGCGGAAAGAAGCTGCAAATATAAGAAGCTGCAACTGTTGCTTCCCTTCCACTCCCCCAAACTGCTGCTACTCTGCCCCCAGGAAGCCCTAAGGCAACCCTAAGCACTTGCTCTTCCAGTATTAGGGGAGGCATTGAAATGAGGTCGTTTCTCCAGCAAGGAGGCAAAAGCCATGTCAGGGGTGGGATTTGAACCATCTCCCTTTGTAGACCAGAACACCAAACTGTGGGAGAGACATGCTTTTAGTCTTACACCTTAGACCCCTCAGCCACCGATATGGAGAAAACCTTTTCAACCTCCGTTTTCTTACATGTCTGAGTTGCTCAGGAAGCTGGAGGTGGAACCTCTCTTTGAACCCCTCCCTGCTGTTCTACAGCAGAGCTAATTGCTCTTTCACGCGTGTCTCTGCTGCCCTGGTGTGGCAGACACGGGAAGTTCTAAAGCTCTGGTTTTGGTAGGAGCAGCTGCATGGTCAGTGTCACTGTGTGTCTCTCACAGTAATATGCAGTGGGCTGTGTCCTCGGGCTTCAGGCCAGTCTGTTGCAGGTCTAGCAGCTTTTTGGGGTTGTTCCTGGAGACAGTGCACCAGCCTTGAACAGCCGGGGAATATCACTGTGCTGATGCAGCTGCATTAAGTGCAGCCACCCACGCCAGCCCCTTCCCAGGACCCTGGCATCCTGGTGCATATCCCAGCTGTTGAAGGGTAAGCCGGGGGCTTAATCCCTGGGATTAAGCTTTAGTTACAAATGAAGGGGGAAGGCACGTGGACTCAGACATGAGGCGTTTTCCCACAAAATAAGGAAAATAACCTAATTGAGTCTATCTAAAACATTCCCTATCTACTCACATATACAGTCTTCCAAGGTATAGTTCATGTGTATGGCTGATGTCTAATTAAACATTCCCTGTCATTTACATATCCATAACTTCAAGGTACAGTCCATTCCTAGGTTGGGATGTTCCTTTTCTAGGCATGGATATTCCTGCCTTTTTCAGTTAATCTTTCTCCCCTCAGCTCCTGGTTTGAACTCCAACTGGAAGATTCCCTTTCAGTTCAAAACTCAACACTTTGTTCCTATTAGATCTCCTGGCTCTCTGCCAGAACTTCCTGGGTTTAACCATTTAATTACTAAATGTTGAGATCTTTAGAAAAGGGCAGCACCCCTCTCATCCATCCCAGATATTACAAAGACCACACCTATAGCTAATCCTGCAAAAAAACTCTCTAAGGCTGTGTCTAGACTGGCAAGTTTTTCTGCAATATCATTTGATTTTGCAGAAAAACTTGCCAGCTGTCTACACTGGCCGCTTGAATTTCTGCAAGAACACTGACGATCTCATGTAAGATCGTCAGCGTTCTTGCAGAAATACTGTGCTGCTCCCGTTCGGGCAAAAGCCCTCTCACGCAAATCATTTGTGCAAGAGGGCCAGTGTAAACAGCACAGTACTGTTTTCCGCAAAAAAAGCCCCAATGGCTAAAATGGCCATCGGGGATTTTTTGCGCAAAACCGCGTCTAGATTGGCCATGGAAGCTTTTCTGCAAAAAGTGCTTTTGCGGAAAAGCATCCTGCCAATCTAGATACACTTTTCCGAAAATGCTTTTAACGGAAAACTTTTCCATTAAAAGCGTTTCCGGAAAATCATGCCAGTGTAGACGTAGCCTAAAGGTTCATTACTAGTCAAAAAGAGTAAGAGCTATCTGCATGTTAGAGCCAGGAAAGAGATACAAACCAAAGAGTTCCCATCTAAATTCAAAGAGTGACAGAGCTGTAGTGACCTGTCTATTCAAAGGGAAATAATCTCTCTTATGTCAAACTGGTATTTCTGGTCACCTTCTCTCCAGACTGTGTGTGTTTATAGTTTCAGCTCAGAACCTTCAATATCCCCTTGTAATGTGTTTATGGACATTATCACGGAGATGAATTCAGGTAGCAATATACCAGCATGTTGTAGAAGCATCTGAACAGAAAGGACATTCTTAGAAGACTAGTTCCTTTTCTGAGCAAAATCAACAGCTATGTGACATGTTTTCGTACCTCGGTGTTTTCGTACCTTGGTACCTTCGGTGGTC